AATATACCCCATACCCTCAAAAAGTTAGCTGCAGAAACTGCACAGTCATCCTAAGTTCAAAGAATGTATTTTGAAAAATACTGTTAGACATGACTTTCAAAAGTCTGTAACAGATAATAAAACTGTCAAAAGCTCTTTTTATTTTTCTATGTACTAATAAAAGGGAAGGGAGGGGAAAAAAGCAGCTGGAGACAGAAAGATTGTTTGATGTTGCTTCTGGAAGATTTTGTCATGTTTCCACCTTGGAGTACTGCTGTACATTCTCATATTGCGAACCTGCATGGTGTGAGGCAGTTCAGCCACATCCTGCACTGCAGCGTGAGATTGCTTTTTGCCTAGAACTGCTTTATTTCCTAGATTATTCCTTCTAAGCTTGCAGGGTTCTGTTCTCAGTTGTTTTACGCTTCAGAAGGCTGTTTGTCTATCACAACCACATCAATGCTGTGATGTTGAGAGGACAGAGACAGTTGTGACAGTAGTCATTTCTTATCTTACCTGGCTTTACAGCAACAGTCATATAGGAAAAAGCCTAATACGTGTTACCTTTTCAACCAGAATGGGAAAGAAGCAGAAAGAAGAATCAGTAACTGAAAATGGAACAGTGAGAGTCAGAAGCCAAAAGGCAGTGGCTTGAAGTAGTGGAAAAATGCTACTACCTATCACTCTGTTTAGGTGAAGCACCAAAGCAGTGAATCATCTTGAATGGCTACAGAAATAGTTGTTTTGCCTACACTGGGTGATCTTGACATTGTCCTCTTTAGCTGTAGTGCTGTACTGAACCATTTAGAGGAGAAACATATTCAGAATTCCTTACCGCTCATTTCCAAATTTGAGTGATTTTTGTCTGTGGAATAAATTGGATAGATTATCATTATATTACAGGAAATGTGTAGTAAATCATGCATGACACACTTTCTAAGTTTATCACTTGATAATAACCAATGACCACTTATTGTCTGCCACCAAATCCTTCAGGCTGGTTTTCCCAGTCAAGACAGCTCCTACTATGATTCTTTTCTTCCTTCACGTTACATAGAATTTGTTGCTTCCTTTCAAGTTACTATTAAGTTTTTTTGTTTGTTTGTTTGTTTTGTTTTTTCCTCCCCCAATTATTTGGTTTTATTTGTTTGACTATTTTCAATATATTCTTCACTTTTGGTGCGAGGGCAGTGATGTAAAATAGAAGTTCTGTATGCCTGTAGATAATTATGTTAAATCGGTCAATCTTCCAATATCCTTTTTCTCCAATGTTTACCATGTATCTAAGGCCTTGAGATGCTCTGAAATGCTGCTGTGCTCTGATCCAAGGTGTGCTGAGGCAGGAAAGTTCTCTGCAGGTGATTTGTCTGTGAATAGCCTCTTTGCATGGATTGATGTCCACATGTAGAGCAAGAGTTGGAAGCCAGTCAACCAAGTGGGGATTGCTAATTCTTCTTCATAGTTCTGTTTCAAATTTCGGGGGCAAATTGTAGAAACCTGTGCTGTGCCTAATTCAGAAAAAGGTTAATGGGAACATCCAGTGCAGTTCCATGGACTGCCACTTGGAGTTGGGCTGTAAGGGAAGATTGCAAAAGTTTTGTGAGAACTATTTATGTGTTCCCTAGAAGCATGGAATCATTCTGTAAGTCCTTGTCAGCTGGCCTGTTTTTAATAGAAATTATGGAAAGCGTGATAGAGCTTGTGTGTCTTTTCAAATCCTACAAAGTCCTGCCTACGTACTAAAAGCAACGTGACAGATATTCACAGCACTCCCACATTCCTCCCCTGCTATAATTAATTATTCAGTATCTTTCCACCTTCGCAACATGTGTTCTTTCCTTCTCTTAGCTAGCTGCAGATACAAAAATCTGTGCCAGCACGAATCTAAATCTGGGCCATCGTGTTCAAAGAATTCTGAGTCTTAAAGGTCTCAGAAAATGGATTGTGTCAGGGTAGCAGCAGCCTGCTGCCATTGAGGCTCTTGGGCTTAACAGTTACAACTACTGCTGTGCTCAGCAACAAACGTATTTATGGGCAGAACGCGAGAGCGCCGTGCATAGGTTGCTGTGGGACAGAAAGGAAAGTTATTGCTGGTTTATCTTGCCAGATTTGCTATTTTGAGTTCTGAATTCTAATAATTTGTGTATTGATCTAAGAGTTTTGGCTGCATGTTAGCAATGTGTATTTTAAGTTCCCTTTTATTTCTGTTTTAAAAAAATTGAAATATTTTACAAACGGGTTTCCTTTGATTTGGCTATAATCTTCTAGACACGGTGTACAGAGATTGCTTGACTTTGGGAAGGTGTTTATAAGTAGTTTTTAGCATCAAGGAGTAAGTATTGTCTAATGTAATGTTAGAAAAAGCTATTTTAAATCATACGGATTGGAGGAAACTCCAAGAAGACTTCTTTTTTGACTATTTATAGACTATACGAGGAGTTACTGAATATTTCTGTTGCATAGTAGAGAGATAATTGTGTAGAAAAAACCTCCTCAGGTTTTATAGGCGGTTACTTCAGGCAGTCATTCTTTTGCAGAGAATGAAAAGATTCGAGTTTCATTCTTCAAATAAATGTCTTGGGACTGAAAATCCAGCTGATGTGGAGACTGAACTCAAAATTAAATAAAAGAGAAATTTCTTTTTAAACAGTGATTGAATTATTTTGTTTTTCATTAAGAGGAAAAAATTCAATTAAAAAATCTATCTCAATTAAAAAAATTTAAAATTAAAAATAGCATGGAAATGTTTTAAAATCAAAACATTTAATTTGAAAAAGCCACGTGAATTTTTTTTTCTTCTTTTGGACCTTTTGAAAGAGGTTGTTTTCAAGCTGGCTGAAAATTTATGAATAATTTAAGTTAATAGGATTTTTTTTTTTTTTCCATGATTACTTATCTGAAAATTTTTGTTTCTCTCCAAGCTTCAAAGGAATTAGAACAGAATGTCTATATTCTCTAAAGCAAAGTCTTGTATAGCTTGGAAACATTGTGTAACTGCTGTATTAACTGGTGGAGATACCTATAAATATTTTGTCAGTTTAGTCAAAAAGCATTTGGAAAGAAAGGAGTTTGGTTTTGTTTACTTTGCAGCATTTGTCTCTGCCACTGCTTTCCCATGTCTTTTTAATTCATTCATGAACATCATTGAACATTTCTCTATTTTTTGAACATTTGGATTTATGTACTGAATTTCTGTGCTAAAGCTGTCATTCTCAGGATCATAAACAGTACAGTAATGGATTTAAAGTAGAAAATCGCTATATCTAGAACAACTTTGAAATTAAGTTTGTTGGGAACTTTTAAACGTATAGAAATAATTTAAAACACGCTGAGATTTTAAGAAACATTGAGAATTACCATTACGTAAAAGCAGGGCTGTAAATGAGTAGCCTACATTTGCATGTTCTCAACTGAGTGTGCACCTAATGAGATACAAACATTAAGAGATTTAAGCTCCGAACACTTATAAAAACGTTGCCATTTAATGGTAGAACAAGTTCAGACTACAGAATTCCACTGCAGCCAAAACTTTTTATCCTTTTGAAGTGACTGGTAACAGATGTGATTTCAGAAAGTTTTATTCTTTCTGTTCAAATTCAGTTTATTACATGCTGACAGCTCTAGATACAGTTCTTCTAAAAATGAAGATGTTATCAAGTAACTGAAGAAGCCTGTGATACTGACTTCCGGTGTTAATGAATTATGGTTTCACTGAAGTGTGGAGTTGCAGAATATTCATTAACACACACAAAAAAAGTGATGCTATACATTTATACATTTAAAGTCATCTAAATCGTACTGATACAATATGGCTCTTCAGGAACTCGTATTTCTATGCATTCTGTGTACAGTGTGGGTAGTTAATAAAGAAAAAATAAGGAGACACATTTTCAGACATTAAACATGCTATTACAGTAAGTTAGAATAATCTATGCTTCAACTTTGAAATGATTTTGTTCATATTAATTTTTCATTGTGTTGAATATGGAGTGAGATTTCTCTCTTGAACAGAGACCACTGTACTCAAATTTAAAACTAATAATTTAGGAGAAGATATTGTGTGAAAGATAAGTGTGAAAGCACAGTGAGATGTAATAGGAATATTATTACTATTATTCATTGTGAGATTAATTATTGTGTATGTTGTTTTTTTTTCTTGTCACATCTATTGAGTAAAGTCTGTCCTTACCTTGGTTTGTATATTTGAGTATTGTGAAGTCGTTGGTGCTGTTTTGTATATCTCAATAAAATTATTTTTTCTGTTGAAGATACTTTTTGTTGAATTCAGTTCTTTCTGTTGAATCTCCTTTGCTTGCATCTGACCTTTATTTACGTTGATTTTGCTTCATTTTTCATTTACCATGCTGTTCAGTTTTTGGATGCCAGGAGAACAAAGGTTTGTCTACTATTTGCAGTCTTTTTTTTTTTTTTTTCAGAATTCAATATTGCTTACTGTGTTTTTTTTTTTGTTTGCTCACTAGAGATACAGTAATCCTGTTTACTAAAGCATATTCATAGCTTTAGTTGCCAAAAGAAAAAAACAAAACCAATCAAGTGCTCCCCCTTGCTCCCCACCAAAATCCCTTCAGTTACAGCGAGTGCTTTGATTCACTTTATAACTCATCTGCTGAGCACCATGCAGGGCAGAACCACCTGTAGTCTATGAAGCAATTTAGAAAACAAGGAATACTGAGTCTTTCAACTTCGTAGACACATACTGACTGTACAAATGGATGTGTCACTGCCTTGTGTTTGGGTTTGTTGTTTTTCTTTGCTCTTTATTTTATCTGTAGCTGACCCTGTGTGTGTTGTCATTTATTTTTTCTACAAGTACTTGAAGGACATCATTATAAATGTTGTCACATGCATTTGTGATTTTTTTTTTTTAAAGGTCATTTAGTATACTTCCATTGTTAATGCTAATAAATTTTTATAGAAGCATACAACAAAAGTTCAATGAAGTCTAATTCTACAGTCAGATCCTAAATTCTTTTTTTTCCTTTTTTTTCTGTGTGTTGTAGCATCTGCAAATGACAATCCAGGCTCTTCAAGATGAGCTTAGAACCCAGAGAGACCTTAATCATCTTCTCCAGCAAGAAAGTGGAAACCGAGGTGCTGAGCATTTTACTATTGAGCTAACAGAGGAGAATTTTCGAAGACTTCAAGCAGAACACGATAGGCAAGCTAAAGAGCTTTTCCTGTTAAGAAAAACTCTAGAAGAAATGGAGCTAAGGATTGAAACACAAAAACAAACACTAAATGCTAGAGATGAATCAATAAAAAAGCTTCTGGAAATGTTGCAAAGTAAAGGTTTGCCCTCTAAAGGAATGGAAGATGACAATGAGAGAACTCGAAGGATGGCAGAAGCTGAATCTCAGGTTAATCATTTAGAAGTGATATTAGACCAGAAGGAGAAGGAAAACATACATCTTAGAGAGGTAAGGAAAACTCATTATTTATTTCTTTAAAAGATAACGTATTTACTGCAGGTCTGGAAATAAGTATCTGAGTGTTTTCTTTTTCTGCTTTCATTGTTTCATAGAATAAGATGCATCTATTTTAAATCCAAATTAAATAAACAAGTGTACTAAGAAATTATGGAAGAAAAGTAATTGTGCCATTTGAGACTTACTGTCTTTGACATTGTGTGCTTTGCATACATTCTAGATTTTTTGTATTTTGACAAATCAATATTTAGCAAATCAAGGCGATGAGAACTATTGAAGAGACATTTAGCACCTTTTGTTGCTATAAAATAACTAGTAATGAGTACATGCTACATTTTGTTTTTATACCTCTTGTGTTTAAACACTTGAAAAGTGTTTTCAAACATTTTGCCTTCTGTAGCCAGACTTTTTCTAATTTATTTTCTTGTGTGGTATGCAACATAATACCACCCCTTTAACACACTGGAGTGATGGCTGTGCTGTGCTTCGGGAGGTTTGGCCTCAAGCCCACATTACTTGCTGATGAATTTTGAAACTAGATTTGGGAGAAGTATGATTGAAAGAAAGTCTGCCTGGTTGTCAAGCCCATTTGCCCTTCTTCATCCTAGCAGCCTCTGAAGCTGATGACAGGGAAATGAGACAGTGTGTCTTCCTCAGAGAGAGACCTTGCTGCTTCCTACTGAGAAAGGTGACAACTGCAGAGGTAGAGTACAAACTACTAACTACTACAGTGAGGAGAATCAGGACATCCAGCTCTATTTCCTTAGAAATTCAGGAGCAGCAAAGTCTGATTGAACTACTGGTCTAGTTAACAAAAAAAATCAAACAACCACTAATTTGCCTGATAAGTCAAAATGTGAATAAAATTAGTACAAGAACACAGAAAACTATTATTAGTTCTTGGATAAGGAATAGCTATCTACATCTACAGGGTTTTTTTTTTTTTTTTTCCTGTGGATGAACTGTTTGAGGTTTCAGCTACTTTATTAGTAAAAAGGAATTCTGAAAACCCAGTGACAGATTTATTTTAGATTTCTTTTTCTTCCTTTTAATCTGAAATATGTACTGGGGCCTCAGTTGTATCTGGAGCCCTTCTCAATCTCGGAAACACTGGAAAATTTGCTGGGCACAATCATAGATTTAAAGATTTTTAGTGAAGATGTGGATCCTCCTGTGTCTTTTCTCAGGCAGAACGTTCATTAAAAAGTGATGCCACCACTTAATGGAGTCTGAAAGTCAGAGGATTCTGAAAGGACTTGCATAAGGAGTTAATGATACTGTATTTATTGTAAGAAGAGTTGTGGGAGAAGTGCTTAAACTATCAGATGGGTTTCTGGATTAAATCTGGTTTCAGAGAAAGACAGTCTGTTTCAAACATGGATGATCTGTATGTTAACTGTTTTTTGTTCTGTGATTGTGCCTCATCTATGGCATCATTATCACATACATTTGTAATTACTAATTCAAGCACATCCTGAATGAATAAAGCAGAAATTGGAAGAAGGTTTTTAATTTGCATAGTCGTCCAGCTCTGGAATGGCTTTCCAAGAGCAGTTAGAGAAATAGGACTAAATAGAGCATGGAAAGTAGACAAGATATTTCATAGCTCCCACTGGGTTGCTCTCAGGAGCCAGGAAAAAAATTGTTTATCTCTAAATTTATATTGAGGATAAAGTAATTATCTTTCCTCTAGAACAAGTGTACAGAGGGGTTTGCTGGAGTTTCTGTTTATGGTATGCTTATGATATGCCTTGGAGACTTGTCAAAGTTTAAAATTTACTGTTTGCTGGTCAGAATCTCTGTGTCAGCTTGGGAACTATCTATCGATTTGGGGATTTGGGGTAAGAATTTCCTTCATGCTTTAAGAATCCGAAGCTTTGTGTGAAATTCCCTCTCTCCAGCTCTGCTCCTGAGGCACGCTGTTTTATGGGTTTTGATTTGTTTGTCTTTTGCTGTCTTGTGACTGGAAGTTGTCTACACAGTTTGAGGGAATATTAGAAATTCAGTATTTAATTTTATTCATTTGTTAAAAAACACTGTTCCTCTTTTGACCTTTGTGTAGTGCAGTGAGTCTTTGTTTTCTGCTGTGCTTACTGGAATTGCTGTTACTGCATGCAGTCTTCATCCTACAAAGTACAGTTTTCCAGCCTGATAAATTAGTGTGCTGAATCTTTTGCAGTAGTCTTTGTGGATTCCATTTTTCAACAAGAGGTTGCAGGTTTTCAACCTAACTGTAAATGCCATCTTTTCTCCAGCTCCCCTGGGAATGTTGTGGCAGTAAACCAAAACTTGGAAGCATTTTCAATCCCTCTCAGGAATGATTTAGTATTCACTCAAATTTTATTCATTTTTACCTGTCTTTAACAAAATATTTGTTGTTACAGAATTTCAATTAAAATATTCTGATTTCTGTATTTTCACAGGTTGCAATATTGAACTCATATTGAGTATATTCCTGAAAAACTAATATATTGTCCTCTGTAACGTAATGTTTGATCAAATCCTGCAAATGTGTTTTTTAATTAGCTTTGCTATTATTGTTCTTACAAGTTGCTATTATTACTGCATGTGAAGTATGCACGTTACCAGAAACCAGTATTCTACTGTCTTGGTTCAAATTAACATGCAGATATCCAAGAATCATGTGGAAAAGGAGAGGAAAAAAAAGCTTTGTTTCTTTTTCTTTCCATGAATAGTTGTAGAAGTTAAAATAGTTGCCTCAGAAGATATGGAATTTCTCCAAACTGTAGATTATATTTCTTGGAGAAACTGCAGAAAAGAGAGATAGAAATAGCTAATGTACCAGAGGCATAAGAATATGCCTCTGGAATATAAACCAGTCCATTTTTCCTTGTTTTCATATTATTATCAGATTTGGGGTGATTTGGGGATGTTAGCCACTTGCCCCTCATATGCTATACCTTTCTGCAGCTTACAGTCTAGAGCATCTTCAAACTTTTATTTCACAAAGGTGAGCTTCTAATTATGTGTTTACTCAAGTTCTCTTTGAGAGCTCTAGGAATGGCAAATTTAAGCCTTATTACACTGGAGGAAACTTCAGCTGAAGTTGGAATCCTGCTCTTCTCTTACAGGAATCGCAAAGAATGTCTATGCTGGTGAGGTTCATTAAAACAAACTTATTGGGGAAAAAAGCTATGCAAAAAATGTGATTTTCTGCGTATTACGGAATTTGTAATACAGGCAATAAACTTCTGCAAGAATAGCTAGATTCCCAGACTTGTGGTAGTTATAGCAAAACTTTCATTAGTTTCTTATTGCAAAGAAAGAAAAAATAATCAGATTAAATAGCATGAAGTGTAAGCACGTCTTTCAGCTTCAGCTTTGAATATACAACCTACTAAGGAGAGAATATGGAGCTCCTCTCCATGGTTTCTGAGAGCATCTGTATACTCAGTTTCCCTTCATTGAGCCAGACTGAATCTTTTGTCTGTAAGAAATTCAGCTCATTGAAGTATTTTTACTAGCCTTTTCTTAAGATAGCTGGAATTTATTGTTATTTTCTGAGACAAAATGATGTAGCATATGCTTGGTAAGGAAATTGTTCTTCAGGTAACAAAGTAGCCTTTTCAAATACACATACGTAAGTAGAGGGACATTCTTGGGCCTGGCAGTCTTCGTTTGTACGTTAACAGGTGAAAAGGAAATCTGTCTTGAAGCCATGATGTCATACCATTGTGTCCTTATGCTCAGAAATAAGTATCCTGTATATCACGAAATATACATTTCTGTCAGTAAAGATGCCTGCCTTTTAATACTTACATTGATTATCAAATGAATTTTCTGGGATTTTAAATAAACATTTTTTCTCTATAATTTTGGGAGAACTGTAGGTAATCCGGTGATTTTATCATGTGGAAATCTAGCACAGATGTTTGGTATTACTTTTTTTTAAACATAGTGACCACACATTATTTACCTTAAGTACCATTAAGTATTTTTTTATTATTGCTATTAAAAGCTTGCCTTAGGCAAAGTCCCACTAAATCTCTAGTAAAGTCAAATGTTAAAATTCCAGCAAGTATTTTATTATATATACATACGCATAGATTACACATGCCTTCTCTATATAGCATACAAATTCACTAAAATGGAATCTGAGATCATATAGGATTTTATATATACATTTTAACTCTTATCTTGCATGTATTCTTAAAATAATGTTGTTGTACATGGTTTAAAGCCATGGTCTTTTCTTTCTACGCTTAGAAAGAAGAACACAGCTTTATTATAATTTAAAGTGCACTTTTAAACTTTCAAGGGTTTTTTAAAACTTGCTCTATCTTTGAACTCAGCTTGGTCAAATAACGATGGTTGATGATAGGATTTGAACTGCCATCATGAATTACTTATTGCATGTTTTTAAAGTTATTAATGGAGTAAAGTTCTTTCTTCCACTGTGAGTAGAACAGATGCCTTGCAGACTTTTGGTGTTTACTGTAAATGTCTTACACTGGAGCCAGTAGTAATTTACTAAGGAAATGCTTTATCGACACCAAACATTTCTTCCCTGTAGTTAGTTACACAGATTAACAACCATTCTAGACTGAGTGTCTTTATTAGGTTCATTAGTGCTTCTTTCCTTTTATTTCTCCTGGCTCAGCTCAAAATATTAATCTAATCAGTACTTATAAAGACAATCATTTTCTATCAAAATATCAATAGTAATGTGTTTTTTTAAGGTGACTTCTTAGGTATACAGAAGGACTTTGCAGTCACACCAGGCAAGAAAAAGTAGACAGAAGCTGATTATGTTCTGGAGAACAAATACACTTCTAAGGTAGCCCATTCAGGTTTTGTTATTCCCCATAATATTCTTGCTGGGGTGCTTGGTTGCAATAGTTTTTAAAAGTCCGTGTGGGGGACATAAAGCTTTTTACTTACAAATTGTTTTTTTCAATTAGGACATGACAACATCACCGCTAGTTTGGAATCTAGAATATGAAAAAAATATCAGTTGGAAATGAATGTTG